AGGATAAATTTTAAAAAATTAATTAAAAATTTTTTATATTTAATTTTAATTATTTTATAATAAATTTAAAGTAGGTGATATTATAAAGAAGTCAATTATTGAGTTTTTTTAAGAATTTTTTCGTAAAGTTGCGTGTGTGGGAAGTCGTCACTCCAAGTATGCGGTCCAGGCGTCAGTCAGGGTTGGCGACTGACTTGAAACATAGATCACAGTAACAAATTATCACAGCAAAGACCCAAAGACAGATCACGTAAATAGGAGAAGGAAGAATACAACCACATTTGGCGCTCATTCTTAAAACAACTAACATCTCGCTGCTGATTGGTTACATTGCCGACTGGTTTGCATTGACAAGACATATATAAAACAACCCTCCACGTATCAGCCAATTCACTCTCCTTTCAGCTAAGAAACGAAGATGTTCGCTTGTAATCTCATAATTCTTATTGGTGTCATTTTAGTATCTTATAACAATGCTATGGTCTTAAACGCTGATGACGGTCTTAATGATGAATTGGCAATTCATCGTCTGTTGCAAGTATTCGGAATTGAACACCTTGGACAGAGAGAACGCCATCATTCTCCACCTGAATACATGTTAGACTTGTACAATGCTATTGCTGATAGTAGCGGAATAACGCGCACACCTAACCCATACTACGCTACGATTGTACGCAGTTTTCCCGATAAAGGTGAGTGGTAATTTATTATATTATAGTTCTACATAACGCTACAGGTGGGAAGAATTTTTTAAATTTAATAATCTGTAATGTTTTACATTAAAACATAAAAAAGTCTCTAAAAAAATACACACCTTTCATCTCTGTAATTGATCACAAAAGGTGGCACTCTCGTTAAGAAATTTATTGAAGAAAATATAAATATTTTTTATAGAATTTCAATTAATTTTATTTATTTTACAATTTTAAAATTAAATTAACATTTAGATTAATATTTTAACTATTTATCCACGTTTTAAATATCACGAATCCTATACAAATATAAGGATTATACTTAAAATAATTTAAATTTAAATCAAGCAAGATACAATATATTTCTCTGTATATCATAATTTATATGAAAGGAAATATCAAAGACTCCAGTCAGAAGCGTTTTCACTTCTTAGAATCGTAGATTAGATAGACAGAACCTTAATTATTTCAGATGTAAGTACAGAGTGTATTATTAAATATAATTTTGTCATTGGCGGACTGTCTGTAATGTCGAGGTGTGTATAAAGTAATCGCACTCGAACACTCCTGCAGGGTATACCGAGAAGATATCTGCATTTCAAATGAAGTCTGCGGCATCTCTTAATAGTAGTAACAATAAAGAGGACAGTATTTTCCTGTATTATTACTCATAATATTCTTTTTAGGTTGAAGTCGTTTGCGGGTCGATTTTTGTATATAATATATACTGTACGTCCTTCTTTCGTTTCTTCTTAAATATTTAGAATGCTTAATGGAGTCAAATTGTAATTTTATGTCCTATCGTCAAATTATCAAACCTTGTACGTGACTTATCTTTTATTAAAATTTTCTCCTTTAAAATTTGTTGTTTCTACTCGACTCTTTTATTATAAAAATACCTTCAATATCTCTTCTATTTAATCATATACTTTATATAATATATATACATATTTAAATAAAAAATATTAATAAATTTTTATTAATTTTTTTATATTCATTTTTTGTATTGTATTTTATTATATAAATGTAATTTTGTAGCATTCTTTTTTGATTTTTGTAAGGAAAAAATTGTTAGAAAATTCTTTCGGTTTTTCTTAATAAATTTTTAAAAAACTTTTTATTTTTGACATTTTAAATATTCTTTTTATTTTTTGTAACTTTTATAAAAAGTTTTCTACTTTGTATTAACATAATTTTGTGCACTAGTTTTTGAGTTTTTTTCAGAATTTTTATCGAAATTTTTATATAAATTTTTCTGTTTTATTATGTTAATACGAGTTTGACAAATTAGTTTTTGAATTTTTTTCGGTAAAAATTAAAAAATCTTTTAATAAATCTTGAGAGAATTGTTTGATTTTTGAATGTTTTGATTAATTTTATTTTTCATCATAAATGTTTTCTTCTGAAATTTCTGTTTAATTTTTCTACTTTATTTCCTTACATTAAGGTAAATTGTGCATTACTTTTTAATTTTATAATCAATTTGAACAAAAAATGTTTGGAGAAAAACATTTTTAAAAATTCTCAAAAATATATTCTAATTCTGTAACTGTTTACAGAAATTTTTATATAATTTTTTTGTTTTCTCGTTTCCTTAGCGTAATTTTGCATTATTATTATTATTATTATTTTATTTTTAAAGACAATTTTCGGTTATTTTCTAATAAATTTTGAGAGAATGTTTTTACTTTTGACTTTTTAAATTAACTTTTCTATCAAAAATTGTTCTTTTCGGTAATTTTTACATAATTTTTCTGCTTTGTTTCGTTGTATTAACGTAATTTTGCGGCAATTTTTGAGCTTTGTAATAAATTTTTGGGTTATTTTTTTAAATTTTTAAAATAAATTTTTTACGAGTATTTTTTTATTTTTTTGAATTTTTCTGAATATTTTCCTGTCAGAAATGCTCTATTCTGCAGATTGTTTATGGATTTTTATAGCACAAAAGAGAATGCAATCATGTCAAATTTCATCGTGTACAGAATTCACGTTATTGAATTCCAATGTCAAATGAAGTATGAAAAAAATTTTAAAATAAATAAAAAAATATTTTATAAATA